ATCAAAAGATCTTGGACCAATTAAAGCACTTCATAAAATTTTGATATATACCACCTGATTGGTCACTCCCCTTATGATTCCGGTTGGTTGATTTTAAGTTTTTTTTAATATCATGTCTTTCCCATATCGTAGTCGAACCTTTTAAGTTATAATGTATAATAATTTCCTGCTACTAAAGTGAGATATGTGTTTTGTAAAATCTTTCAAGCATTACAATTTAAGGCGGTGTATGGTACAGTATATTGAAAATTGGGAGAACAAGTGAATTGTGTACAAACTTCGGTACATGAATCTAATATATAATATATTAAAGTAATGATTTCAGGCCAAAGGCCCCTACAGACACTTGGCATCCATATATTAAGACAATTGTCCTTACAATAATTTGCAATTTCATACTATGACCACTAATTTGGAAATTCAAACTGAATTCCATGCAAGTATTTGTGTTATTTAAAGTACATGAGAAGTGGGAAGTTCCCACTCTCAATCAGTTTACACATAGAACTAAATGTTTTGAAATCTAAAATTCACTTTGCAACTCAGAGAATTTTCAGAACTTTGGGAACTTTAGTAACTCAGACAACGTTGGAAACTCACAAATCTAAGGGAATTGTGCAACTCTTCAACAAATTAATTACTTAGTTATAATAACAATAGTATCATTTAATCACTATTATTATTATTATTATTATTATTATTATTATTATTATTGTTATTATAATAATATAATTATTTCTGAATTTATAATTATTAAAATATTATTAATATATTAATAATACTGATTATTATTAAAAAATTGTAAGTAGCAAAATTTAGTTACTTAAAATTAATTGCTGAAATTACCCATTTTAATTCGGATTGATAATCAATTATTAATTTTAATTACCTAAAATTATTATTTACTGATAATAATGATACTTATTAATTCAGATACAAGCATTGAATATCTATAGTAATATTTATATTTAATTACTGATAATTAATTAATGATAAATACTGATAATTAACATTAATTAATTCAGTTTGGTTTTAAACCAAACCTGGTTAAATTAAATACTGATAATTAATAACATTATTAATAATTATTATTTTATATTCATATTAATTAATAATARTTAATTTATAATCATACAAGTAATGTTAATTATTAAATGTTAATCATAATTAACATTAGTTAAGTTAGTTTGTTTTTAAACCTAACCCGGTTTAATTAAATACTGATAATTAATAATAATTATTAAAATATTATTAAGTACATACATAATAAGAATAAACTAATACTTAATAATAATACTAATAATAATAATAATTAGCATGTTTAATTAAATATTGATAATTAATAGAGATGTTAATAATTAATATTATTCTTCTTCTCAGTTAATAATTATTAAAATATTAATAATTACATACATAATAAGAATAAATTATTATTATTATTATTATTATTATTATTATTATTATTATTATTATTATTACTGGTTTTATAATTATTAATGTATTATTAATATATTACTGATAATTAATTGTTGATAATTATTATCAATAATAATAATATTAATATCCAATATTTATTTGATTTAGTGAAATTTAAATTATAAAACTTTCAATTATTAAACAAAATTAATTATAAGTGCAATTATTATTTCATTATTTAACTACTAACATAATTAATACAAATTAATAACTTATTATTAATAATAGTTTCAAAATTGAAAACTTACTCTACTCAAAAACTAATTCACAATATATATGTGTGTATGTATAACATTAACTTCCCCATACTTAGTATGGGGGTCATCTAATATGTATATGTATTAAAGGAAGGTTTCCAAGCTACAACTGGCCCCCACCATTCAGACACATGGCATTTTTTTGAGAAGTTGTTGTTAAAACCCACAACCCACTACCATTATTAAGGCCTTTCTCATTTTTTAGAAAGCTAGACATGTGGCAATTTTTGAGAAATTTCTACTAAAGCCCATATCTCACTACCAGGCTACAGCCCCCACCATTCGGACACACGACCTTCTCATTTTTTTTGAAAAGTTGTTGCTAAAGCCCGCAACCCATTACCACCATTTTCAATCAATTCCTAAAAATTGCAGAAAATGCAAAAGTGGTTATCCACAACCAGTTCTGCCTACATTATATCAATCTCAGTTGACCATTACCCCTCTATGTATCATAACAAAAGAAAACTATCCATATTCTAATAATTATTGAAAAACTATTTTTTGAAATAAATATTTCTTGAAATTTTAATAATTATTTAAAATATTAATAAATATAAATTTAACATTATTGATTCCATAATGTAAATTTAACATTAATGATTCCCCGTACTTAGTATGAGGTCATTCACTAGTTAAAAAGTTATTTTCATCAGACTACGGTACATAAGACAACACACCTATCGAAGTAAAAGTTATTTTCATCAAAATAAATTAAAAAAAAAATCGAGTTAAAAGAGGTGTAATCACTTTTACTTGAATCGGTCCAATTAAATAAGAAATTGCTTAAAATTAGTGTTTTTAATCCGCCGTTGACCTAGCTGGTCGAACTGTCATCCGACCAAGAGTCCGGGTCCTATTCAGTCAAAGACCCGTCAAATAGTCAAAATCATCGACTTAGTCAAGAATCATTTGACCTGACCGGTTCAACCATTGACCCATTTGACCTGGTCACCAGGTCGTAGGTTACACACTCAATGTATACAAACTTTCGGAGGCCATAACTTTGCACTCTGATGTCTAATTGGAGTGACTATTTTTTTTTCTTATTCTGGGTAACTTTTCGAGATCTATGCGTCTCAAGAAGTCATAGGCAAAAGCGGTGACCTACGACCCAAAGGCAAAAGCGGTTCGGCCTTCGAGCCATTTTTTAAAACATTGCTTAAAACTCTTCCATAGTGTTTGCATGGCTTTGTTTATTGAGAAAATTACTACACTACCAAATACTTAGTGGACAATTGCACTTTAGAATATACTATGTAATGCATAGGCTGGTTTTAAAAAGATGYCCATTTTAATATTCAGTTTCTGAATTGGTTGTGGCCTTGTGGGTGGGATTAAAAAGTCCCATAGTTAATTTCTTATTTTAAATTCAACTATGATGCCAAAAATATACATACCAACAAAAATTAGGGTAAATTGTTGAAACCTCCCCTCTGAAGCTTCTGACAATTCCCTTGAAGTTTAATAATTGTAATCATTTTYCTTGAACTTTTTAAAATAGTTCCAAGTGGATCTACATGAAAATGTCCAAAATACCCATACAATTACTCTTGACCAAAAGGTTTATTTTCTAAATTTTCTCTTCAAATCAATCGCTACTCCAAATCCTTCTAATTTCTTTTCTAAAATTGATTTATTTCCCAAATTTTCTCTTCATATCAACTCTCAAATTAAGGTAAGGTTACAACTTTAAACTCTCTTTTGTTAGAAACCATTCTTATTAGTTAATGCATAGATATTTTGGACATTTTAGTACCTCTTATTGGACGATTCTAACAAACGGGATATAGTTGCAACTATGTCGAAAAGTTAAGCTGTTCAAGGGAGGTGCAATTACCACACTTCAAGGGAGGCTTTTGCAAAGGTCAGAAATCAGTTTGAGGAATCTAACATGTAATTGCATTTTAGTTTAGGTGATATTTGGCATCAATTTCATTTCCCAAAAGTAGGCATCATGTCAGAACCACATGGGATAAAGAAGAATTGGTGATTTACAATACAGAAAAAGAATTCTTGAAATCAGCCCATCTTAAGGGATCACTATTTTCAATTTACATAGTATCAAACAACAATTTTTGGTAATTTTCATAAATTTCTGGATAATCACTAGGAAGGAATCATCATTGATGCCAAACATCTCCTAGACAATAGAACAATTATAGGTTTTTTCTCATTTAATTTACCAACTACACGGACTCTAGAAAGTATTAAATTTCCACTTATGAAATCGTCATTGATGTTGGGTTCCCAACTTCCCAATATGGTGGATAACTTAACCGACATTGGCACTGTAAAACGTTCAAATCTCAACGGCCAGTCTGACTGATTCCAACTTAGGAAATATCTCGAATCCCCAGCCTATCCCCCACCCCCAGGAGGAATATAAGCATGTACGGTTATTGAATTTGCCTTTACCAAAGAAATGATATTCTGCTTGATTATATTCCAAAAGAACTGTTGCAGTCGACCAATCCAACGGTTTGTCTCTCTGTCCTTTATGATTTGTGTACGAGTCTTTTATTTCCCTCGATAACGAAACATCACGTTGCGACAGTATGTATGAGATGTGCGCTTTAACACAGTAGCTTCTCTCTCTTGCCACACTCCATCCGGGATTATTTGAAGACTTTTTCATTCAATTCAATTCAATTCCGGCACCAAATCCGGCGGCCTAGTTGATTTCTTTTTGGTAGTGGAAGAGAGAATAAAACAAGAAAGAGGGATCAAATTTATGGGAAGGGGAAAAGGAAAATGAAAAATTAGAGGGCATTTTTGGCATTCCAGCTATGATTTTGAATTTTTCTCCTGACAATGTCTTGGGGATATTTTGGGAATAGAAACGCAGAGAGAGATAGAGAGAGAGAGAGAGCCGGCGTGGCTCTTGATTTCCGCGTGGACATATTAGTGGTTGCTTACCTACGAAGGATATTTTATTCATTGTCGGCGAGATGTCTCACCCTTGGGCCTTGACCCTCGACACGTTTCCAACTCTTTCACCAATCGATATCCACGTACAAACAATAGGGCTCGAATTTACGGTTTTACCACAGAAACAACATTCTCATAGTTTCCATTGCCAAATTAAAGTGAGCAGTTGAACATGAATACGAGATACTCCAAAAATGGAAAAGGGTACCCAAATAAAAATAAAAAATCCCTCTCATAGGCGGCAAGGTACTTTATTACCCTCACCACCTCCCCTCTCCCATGCTATTATGACGATTCCTGTCTCTAGAATTTATCCTTCCTTTTTTCTTTTTTGCTTTTTAATTTTGTGTAGGTGTAAAAAACAAGCAACCCTTTTCTCCGTGTACAGTTGGATTACTTCTAGCTATCAAATGATTCAAATGACAAATCCATTCTCTATATAAACCCACCTTCCTCTGATTCCCCTCTCTTGCCAATCCTTTCCAAAATCGTATCGTATGTGTTTCCTTTGAAGCTGTTCGATCATGAGCAACGTTCCTAGGTCTTTGACGGATTCTTCTCTAACCCTCTTCAAGCTAGCGATCTCATCTTCTGATCCGTGGCCTTTCTCTTTTGTTTTCTTATAATATAATAAGGGCTTCTTCCTCCCCGTGAGAGAGAAAGAACAACTGGTTGTGCGCGTATTTTGTTCTGATACTCAGAGATGGGTAGCGGTGACAAGCACATATTGAACTTTCATCTGCATTTACCTCATCTTCATCATCACAATCATGGTGGGAAGAAGGAAGTGAGATGTATCCCCAAGGGTTGTCTCGCCATCATGGTGGGTCAAGGAGAGGAGCAACAAAGGTTCGTGGTTCCTGTTATTTATTTTAACCACCCACTGTTCATGCAGTTGTTGAAGGAAGCCGAGGAGGAGTACGGTTTTGATCAAAAGGGTACTATTACAATCCCTTGCCATGTGGAGGAGTTCCGATACGTTCAAGGTATCATCGATAAGGAGAAGTCCTTCCACAGCAATAATCACGTTGGGTGCTTTAAGGCCTGATCCTGAAGAAGATGCAGGTTTTTAGTTGTTAGAATTCTAACCCTCGACGATGGATGTTGGATGATGATGATGATGATGATGTAGTGTAGTTTTGTAAAATTTTAGGGTGTCTCCGCTTTCCTTTTTCTTTTTTTTTCCTTGTTATCTTCGCTTCTGTTTCTCGTTTGGCTTTTGTTTTTTGGGATAGCAGGGTTATTGATTGGTACTGATGATGACAATATTTGTTTGTTGGTTTTGCTATTCTTGTTTTTCTAGCAATAGTAAAATGCAGGCAATTCTTTAATTTCCTTTTTTTTTTTTTTATGTTCTCCGAAATTGTGACTACATGGAAATTTATTGGAGTCGGTACGACGATTGACGGCGGTTCACGAGAAAGGAAGAACACGGTTAATGAAGAAGTGGGGAAAAGGGGTTATCATTTGGAGGGGGCAACTGTTTCTGTTCAAATCCAAGAGGCAATGTAAATTCCCAATTGATTGTTTTGGCGTGATTCTTTCCTTTGGTACTTGCAATGTAATTTCATCAATTTGCTAGTTGTGTGTTTGGAGTGGGATCAGGGATGGATGGAGGCTTTTGGAGGAAGGGTTGTTGGGTGCTGTACAATGCACAATGTACACGGGCGGATGAATCTGAGAGACACTGGCCCTCCATATTTATTTTCTTTTTCTTCTAGTGGTCCGTTGAGACTTTGAGACCAAGAGGCCCCCCCACTAGCAGCTGAGCTGAATCTCCTTCCCTTCCTTCCAATTTCCAACCCCTTTTGTAATTCTATAAAAACAGACGACTCATTGGAGAGTACGTGGGCCACAATTCTCATTTGGTTTCTTGTTGATTTTTTAGACGCTTAGAAGGAGGGGCCTGCCCCGCTCTGCACATGATAATGACCACATTGATCCTTAGGGCTCAAGTAGTAAATATTTCTAGTTAATATCTATATAAACACAAACAAACAAACAAACAAAAAGAGCGAGGGAGGGCGTGATATGTAGGTTGTGCGGTCTTCTTGGGCTCAGTCCGGATCATGTAGGTAGGCACTAAGTTGTTGTAAGCACGGACGAATTCTAATACCAACAGAAAACAGATACAAATGTTTTGATTGAGGAAAAAAATGTGGATAGTATCATAGTAATCTTTGGTTGATCGTAATTTGGTTATTCGAAAATTGGTATGACAATTATCATGCCTTGCGACTTGCGAGTTGCGTCTGAGCTCTGACCATGAAATAATGTTAAGAAAACAAGGTACACATACAGTACACAAGAGAATCTTATATTTTGATTCATCTTTAATATTCTAATCCATCAGATGTGCCCTTGCCACATCATATTTATAACACATTCGTACAAATAAAAGTAACAATACCCATCAACGTATATACCTTTCTTTTCTAATGATGACGCACTTAATTAAGTTGTTATTTTTTATTTTTTTCTTTAATTATTCCCAAGAGCGGAGAGCCATCACCTTAAGTTGACTTGTACAAAAATGCTGACTCTTCCAACGGCTGATGCCACAAGTATAAACTAATCCTATGGCGTTATAAGGTAATGCGATAGATGTCGCATCACCATATATTCAATATAATAAAAAATAAATAAATAAAGGGTTGGCTGCATTGAATTTTAAGCCTTCAATGCATTGCTTAATATATAAATAATTAATGAATTTCAGCTACAAATTAAATTCATTGCTGGGGTTCCAAACAGACATCCCCCCTTTTGAGTTTTGACAAATGCACACAAAAGCTGGTTTATTCATTAAATAAGTATAAACAAAAAAAAAAAAAAAATTGCGGACCACGTAAGATCCAACTACATGAAAATGACAATGACAATTTTTATCCCCTAGAAGCTACCCAGTACCATTATTCAAATTTGTATGGTGACAAAACTCATAATTTTTGAGTTTGACTACTTTAACTTATTGAAAATAATTATAAAATTAATCTGAATCCACAAATTGAAATTAAAAAAAAAATCCTTCTTTCTAAATTTGAAGGTTTCTTGTTTCTACTGCTGTAATTTAGAGAAAATTAAATTTGATGTATGTTCACAAGAATGTCTGAGGCTTGTGCCGGCAACGCACAAATTGACCCATCTAAAGCCTAAACCCTAATTAAAGGGTATCCCATTTAATCAAGCATGTTTTCGTTGATACTTGTTGTTTTAAGAGACAAATTCATATAAATTGGTCTTACTTCAACAAACAATATGATAATCTGTAAACCACGATATCCATCACCCACATGGTTTTATTTGTTTTTAGAATTAAACCATGATATCCATCACCCACCACCGATATATCATATACCCATATGATCAAACGCCATTTTCTTTGAGATGACACTAATAATTCCAGTGCTCTCCCTTTGCTTTTAATAAAATTTTTCCTCACATGAGGTAAGATGAAGTAGGGTATAGTGATGACATGGATCAAGGAGTGAGAAGTTGGACAAATTAAAAAAATAAGAATCCCCAATTCAATTTCAATATATGGAAAAGATTAGGTATAGGATTGATTCATCGATCTAAGTGCAGAATTAAGTGAGATGGTGTAGTAAGCTTGTCCTAGCCTATAGATATTTGCATTTCAATTTTGTTTCAAGTAGTAGATGTTGTTAGATTATCTAGCAATTGTAATTTGGAAATTAGAATCCCCAAATTTTGGTCGACAAACAAACATAAAGCTAATCCTAGACGTGGCCTATCAAAAGTTATTATATTCCGGACCATTAATTAAAAAGAAAACTAATTTTTTGTAACATATATTCTTTCACTCTTCCATGTGCATGTTGAAAACTATCATTGTTTTGAGCAATTGACCCCGCCAAAAATAATGAACATATCGCGCTTCAACAATCAAGATTTTGCCACTGTGACGTGACGAGATGGCCTAGTGATTTCCTAATTCAACCGACTGAATGGTGGCTAATTGGTACGTTAACTGAGTTGTCCCAACAGATATATAGATTCATGTCCCGCTATTACCACTTATCTCCAACTGTTATTAAAGTGTTGTGTTAAATATTAAAAAATCACCATTTCCTAATTAAATAAAAACACGGAGGGTGTGCCCGTAGGATGAAATCCACATATTATTCGTGATAAGCTCAGCGGAATTTATGTGCATCCTCCTACTCTGTCCATTGTCCATTAGGTGGGGGTGTCAATTGGACTGGATTTGGTCCAATCCGATCCAGTCCAATGTGAGTCTATTATAAATGGACCATGTTCAATTTAATCCAATGGATGTTTTGGACCAATTTGGATTAGTCCAATTCAATGTCTAGACCATCCAATCTATTCAAATTCATTTTGATTTAAATCAGTTTCAACCTAAACCCGGTTTATTGATACATATATTTTTATCTTATAGCAATGAACTAGATATAGGCTTAATCCAACCCAATCCATTGTAAATTTGTTACGGATGGATCAGGTTCAATCTGATCTAATAAATATTTTGAACCAGATTAATCCAATCCAATATGTCTTATTGGTCCATCCAATCCATCCAAAATTGATTTTGGACTGAACGAGATCCAATCCAAAACCAGTCAATTGACACCCTTATTGAAAAATTCAACTCACATATACACATACACACACTTCAATCAATCAGACCGGCCCGCCGGTGCCAAAATTAATTAAGGTTTAAGGGGGCTGATTCTCTTTCCTTCGGCCTTGGATGCGTCTCCCCTCCCTAACATTCCTGTTCCTGATCATTAATTTTTAATTCATACAAATGATGCCTTGCCAATTTGCCTACCTAGCTATGTCATCGTATACTGCTTTATTACAATGTATTCTCCATTCCATCAATGCATGGAACTTGGCAGTAAAGCAATAAAGCTAGCTAAAAGCTAGAAGTATATATTCTTGGTGATAAAAAGGTACGAACGTGTTACGACAGCCGTAGCAAACTAAGTAGCAATATCAAAGTATAAAGTAGTCAAAACTCAAAAGCAAGGCCATGATGGCGCTACATATAGAATCTACTCTGTTCTTAATTTTCTTAATTTTGATTAATTCGACTATGATGTCAGAAATGACATGGTAGGAAATAGGAATCAATCAACCAGGATCATAAAAGATTTTAGTGGGGATGATCATTTATGATGTGATCCGGCCTGATCTGTATATACTGTGGGTCGAGTCTGAGCCAAACAAGCCTTACGCCCAGTTAGCCCAGCCCAACTTAAAAATTATTATTTATATATATATATATATATATAATATGACATGTATATATAATATTATATATTATTATATACATAATAATTTTTTGAATATAATTTTTTGTAATCATGAGCACAAGGTCAAATTAAAATTTTAATTTTAACTCATATGGACCAACCCGGATGTCCAACCCAACCTGAGATCAGGCCGAGATAGACCTTAATACTGTTGATACGCTCGGGCCTGGGCCATGATCATCCCCTTGGATGAATTGCTGTGACCCCATCTTTGAATTGAGACCGTATTTGTTCCCAACAAAAGCCTCCTTTGTCAGTCTTGATATATTTGGATTTTGAATTTGTTTACCTGATTTTAGAAGGGAACCATCCAAATTTTCAAAAGTCAATTTGTCATAACATTTTTAACAAAGCTACAAATTAACGATGAAGAGTCATCCTATTCTTGTATGACAGTAAATTTAAGTGGAAACCATTTTCTCAAACCAAATTGGCAAACAAGTTAATAGCAGATCTGCTCGATTAAGTACTCAAGACCACAGGCGCGGCTAAACTGTTTTGTCTGCTCAGTCCAGGATTACTGACTGGTTTATCTATTATGAGTTATAACCAGGTAACCAGGGACGACTTTTATTTATTTGTTAATTTATTTAGGCCGCGTTTGGTAATTCTGTTCGCATGGGCTTTTGGCTGTTTAAAAGCTCGGAAGTCCGAATTTCGGGTTTTTTCTGTTTGGTAAATGATATATCTATTCCGAAAAAGATGCAGCTCGCAAAAGACGCGAAAAACCCAAATTTGGGCTATTTCGGGAAGCTTCAAATGAAGTTTTTGTAATCTTTTGGCTTCTTCGAACGTGTGGTTCTTTGTACACGCTTGTGAGAAAAAATAAATCTTTCGATAAAAACTCTCAAAGTTTCAAGCCCTAACTCTAAAATCTGCCACTGTCGACCTGCGTAATCTTCTCTTTTTCTTCTTCTTCGAGTGTCTTTCTTCTTTTTCTTCTTCCCACGAGCTAATCTTTATCTCCTTTTTGCAAGTATACCATCGAACGTAACTTTTTCTTCTTCTCACGTGAGTTGGCCCAAAGATTTAGGGGCCGTTTGGCAAGTTTCTTTAGAAGATTTTTTAGCAAACCTGATAGTCAAAAGACGATGTGAGTTTTTTTTGCATTAAGATCTTAACAGCTTAAAGACTATTTGGTTAAGGCACATCTTTCCACGCAAAGACAAATTGAAAAAAAAAAAAAAGCGAAAAGCTCCATTTGGAGTTTCTTGTAAATAGCTTGAAACGGGCTT